GCATACCGGCTAGGCGACTGCCCATGACTAAGCAAACTGTGGCTAGTTATAACATACTCTTGCCACTGGCTGGCTGTTAAGTCACCGTAATATTTCTGTCAGCAGTGCAAATCTAGAGAGAAAAACTCCAGAAAAGATGTTGTCCTCCTAAGTTTCCATACCTGTCAGAGAGGCCTCAGAAAGTTTTGTTCCAATATGGCCCAGTTAAGTGATTTACAAGGTTCAACCCAACAAAAACTTAAACTGCTGGAAAGATTTTAGCTGATGACAATCTGTAATTTACCTAATGAATGTTCTTTCAATTCATCATTTTGACTGGAACTGGAACATTCTCTTTCTGATTGTTCATCTTTCCTGACAGTAATCAGCCAAGAGAACTCTGCAGGAGGTTTAGCTTCTCTGAGTCCTTTACACACTGTGTGTAAATGCATTACAGATCTCTGTAATTACTAAAACCGTGTTTTTAAACCCTATGAACAAGCTCGTCTCTGACTTTAAGTCCTCTGTTCTCCACATTGTAATTATCTACTGATGCTATTCAATAAAAAGCGTCAGTAATGGTATTAAAATGTTACCGTAATCTCTCTGACGTGTATCAAATTTACAAATCAAATATTGTTTTTCAGGAGGTTGTGATTTTCTTATGGATCAAAGGCTGAATGAATGGGAGGTTACACAGTATGCCTCGCTGACAAAGCCATATTTGTGCATGGATGTGTGTTTGTGTGACAGTGTCTGCCCTGCCTGCCTTTGAATGCATGTGCACAACTGTGTGTGGAGTTAGTCAGCAGTAGCAGGGTTATGAATGAGATCAAACACACACAACCACACACAGTGACAGCAGATCAAACGCACACACACACAGACACAGACACACACACACACAGAGACTCCCTGCACTGGACACAACTGAAGGACGCTGACCGTGTGTGACTTTGATCCTTGCCACGACATCCTTCCCAACGCTGCTGCTTTTCAGATTCTCTTCTGTCTCTCCTTCCCCCCCCCCCCCCCCCCCCCCAGACACTCTGCTCTCATGTTTCACTTTTCATAGCTTCAAATAGAGCTGAGTGTGGGTTCAAAACCCAGAGAATCCTCCGGCTGTAAATGGACACCAAGTGTTTAGGGTCCAGATTTGGAGCATGCAGCTTGGTTTCAGTTCTCAAAGAGGACTGTTGTGGTCGGTGTCACCATCTCACTGCTGAAAGAGTAATAATAGCATAAACTAGATGTGGAGCAGTGAGCATAAATGACTTTGTTGCTTGAGGGCTGGGCTTTGTAAATACATGGTGCAGGATGTGCAGTTTTTACTTTGATGTGAATGATAAATGAGCATTGTTGTTCCTCATGAAGAATGTCATTTGGGAATGAAAGAAATAAAACCTGAAATGGAACAGGTGAAATACTTTTCATGGGGAGGAACGTTATTATTTTTTGTAGTGTTAATATCAATATGATACATTATAATTGTATTACCGTGAGTCTTGGCAAAAAATGTATTAATATCTGTTCTGATTGTGTAGATGTTTGTTTTTAAAACTTGACATGAAAACCTGCCCAAGTCTGACTTTGCTTATGAAGCAAACTGCACTCTAATCCGCAAAGAGAGTCAATCTACCGACATGTCGAAGAAATTTCACGCATCATTTCATGATAATGTAATGTTCTGTTGCAAATTATGAAAGCTTCAGATATTAAGAATGTTATCTAAGTATTACCACCCACTTGAAACAATGCTGGAGACAGAGCAGTCTCTGATGACTTTAGTTTTCCCTGATTGGCAGTGGCCTACCCCAGCAGGACAGTGAATTCCTCAGCACTACAAAACTGCCCAGGGCAGACGCTTTTCTGAAAGTCCCTAGATTTCAATTTCACCAAGAAAAGCCCAGCCAACAGAAACAACACTCTGGATCCACTGCAAGAGCCAAAGAATGGACTGTTGATACTAACAGACACCAGAAGATACGCCCTGGAGTCATGTTACTTTGGGACTTTCTCAGGCAGATGGGCAATGCTGTCATAAGTGATCGAAAATTACAGCAATTGTATTTAGTTCAGTTTGTTTTTATTCAAGTATTGTAATGTCCAAACATCATCTCTGGGAATCTCTTGGTCAAGACCTTAGAATAGTATGACGAGAAGCATGACAATTCTTCCTTGGGCAAGCTCTTGAACATTTTTGTTTGGTTTGAATAATGGGAGAGCGAGGACAGAAACAAACTGATGTCTTGTGTCTCACTTCCCTAGATTAGTGTCCAGTTGACAGATGTGAACCCACCTTACAGACAGCTGACTGATTGCATCTCTGATCTTTTGATTAGAGCCTTGTGATATAAATTGTCACTACGATTCCACATATCCGGGCGAGTCCTGCTTTGACAACACCGGCATGTTGGTCAGAATAGTAACTGCATTTCAGAAACTTGCATCTCTGAGCTAGAGATGCTTGCAGTTAATGACAAGCAATAATGACATGAATGCAAAAAGCATGAAAGAGGGGAGAGTAGAGATGAAGTGTGTAGCACATTAAAAGAGGTCCCCTGGCAGGACGGCCCAGAGCAGCATAAATAAGTCATCATGGACACCTGACCCAGCATGAACTAGAAGAATTCACCAAAAGCTAAATTCTTTCAATATCTTGGAAGAAAAGAGCATCCTGCTGTAAAATTAACCTTCTTTTCTATCTTGGAAACGGGATCAGATCTGGTTGATTGTAAAATCTTCTCGTACCTTACAGATTTATGTAGGGTATTTTCACAAAAAACCTTTGATAGAGGATAAGGATTACTTAAGCTTCTCAACCAAAGCAGAAAGAGAAAAAGGAGAAGATTATGCCTTGCTTTAAAAAAGTGTTACTGAGTTTTTGTGGAGATTGAGAGCTTCCAGTACTATGAGTTTGCAATTTCTGTTATTTGTTTAACATAGAATTGCTTATCATTTCTCACACCAGTGTTGCTAAGTGAATGACCATTTCAAATGATATGGAAAGCAACGCTACACATTGACAGAAAGAACACTGAGTAAAGGAGAGACTTCATCCAGCAACAGAAGTGAGTCCAGATTATTATCGTGACTCCAGCCCTTTATACAGGTCCCTCAAACAATGTGGATTCATTGCGTCTTTCACCCCTTGTGTCGACACATTGCTGCTGTATGCGTACTGCCGTGTCTGAATTTCTCCCACTGTTCAGCAAACAGTGTTTTAACAAAGCTTCCTGTAATCCTTATGCCTAAGAGTTGACTGCCGCTGCTTTAGAGGAGATGAACACAATGCTTCACCATGGAAATGTGCTTTACAGCTTTGATGCTTTATTCCAGTCACTTTTTCAAAGGATGTGTCCAGTGGATGTGCTTCCTCATACTTCCCTTGTATTTCATCCTCCACCCCCACTATTCTTGCTCTGATCGACCAGACCGTGTCCTCCAGTCCCACATGTCAACGTTTTTTTTCTTTGACACCGCTCTCCTCTCCCCTCTGCTTGGTATTCTGGAGTAGGAATGTATGCACCATCTCAGATCCATCAGATCATAATGCTGCACCATGGCTCTAGAAAAAAGTCGAAAGAGAACAGAGAAAAAAGGAGAAAAAAGGGGAGGTGTTAGGGTATAGGTCAGCTGCTTGTCCACATCCTTGTGGGACCAATCAGGCACAAGAAGAGACAAAGAGAGAAGAAAGAAGATGTAGGCGAAAAGCACTACTTGATAGTATCATTTCTTCCTAAATTAGCCACTCTGAGGCACTCAGAGAGTAAACAAATTCACATTCTTCATTTTCTTTACACCAGCAGAGTCAATAACCAGTATGCATACTTGTATCAAAATCCTGTAATATTTATCAAAATTAAAAATAGCTTCAAACATTTAGTTTAGTGAGTTTAAAAAAATATCTACTGTGGACAAAACAGCATGAAACATTTAAATCATTTGGTATAAATAACATTCACAAATATAAATCTATGACTTACAGGGAGGGTTTCACTATCCACTAATGACTGCAGATATAACAAAAACTAAAGAAGTGAATTCAGTTTAAAATCAAAGCCGATGTGATATTGTTTCTAGAAACTAATACCACTAAAAATTTTCACTGATTGCTAACTCATATAGTTTTATCCAGCCGTTTTCTGTTTCTAAGTTTTTATGAGCAGTGTATTCTCATGGATTTAGTGAGATATTATTGACCATGTTCGCTGTAATGATTTTGAGCAAGATTCTGTTAAGCATTGTACACACGAACCAACTAACCTTCTGTGACACTCACCTCTTCAGCCTGCTCATCATCTCCTCTTTCTCCCGCCAGAGCAAAGGAAAAAGCAGACAACCAAGGGTCGATTGCATCCATGTTTTATCTTTTCTTCATTTATTACGCACTTTCCTTTGCTGTCTACTTCTGAAAAGCTTCTCAATCCTCTGTGTGATCTCCCTGTCGGCTTTCCTCTACAGCAGTGCGTTGCCTTGGTAATTACCAGTTGTCTTAAACAGACAGATGGAATAAGAGAGAGTGACGGGCAATTTTCCCAGTGCCTTTTTCCCCCATGTATGTGCGCGCAACTCCTTTTTGCATGTGTGTTTCTGCCTGCTGTCTCACCACTTTGCATCTCTTCTTCCTCACTTCCCCTTTCACGTACTTTCTGTGAGTATCCATTTGTGTGTTGTGAAGGTGTGTGTGGAGGGCGGACACAGGGAATTACCTGACAGGATGTGTTAGCTGAGGATGGCAGTGGGACAGTCTCATCTCGTGCTTGTCTATTGGTCACTTTAGATGCCAGGTGTCACTCTGGACCGGTGCAGGGCCGCAGGATGTTTCACTTATTTTTTCTCCCAATGACCCATTAACACAACAAAGATAAGTCAAACACATATTTCTGTCACTAAACAATTGCATCGGAGGATGCAATGACCACAGAGTCAAACAGCACATAAGCGGGACGGACATCTTATCATGGTGTCAGAGTTCATGTATGCATATTCATACCATCCAATTAAATTTTCTCTTTCAGGCTGGCATGATCAAAACAGAGAAAGAGGAATTTTTTATCGAGCCGGTGGAGAGGGGTGATGGAGTGATAGAAAAGGAGGAGGACGGAGGAGGAGGCAGGACACATATCATCTATCGCTCTTCAGCTGTTAAGAAAGTGCCCATCAGCAGCGAAGCGGCGGACTACCACTCCAGAGGTCAGTCCTCCCTTAAATCTATCCTTCACATGTATACATTGTTGACTAAAAGCTCTTCACCACGACACTCTCTGCTTCTCCTTTCCATGAACTACTTACACATGGGCATAATGTTATATCACTTGATTCATCTAAATTCTTAGACTCACATAAATCTTATAGATAAAAATATGACTTTAGGCTCGTTCTCTGCAACAGATCCTGACACACTGCCTATTCACACCTTAAAGAAACTGTTATATTGCTCTATTCCTCTCCTGCCCACACCTTGTTTTATCAAACTTTGACATGCAAAGATAGTGAGTCATTCCCTGCTGTCAAAAAGATGACACCAGCACATACAGCGCACCCTCCTGCCACTGCACTCATTATTCTACGAGGAGGGTGCAACATATGAAGGCACGCATGTTCAACTGGTAAGGTAGCTTTTTGTATTTTATAATAGAATAAAACGCCACCTTGGTTGCCTTATCAATTAAAGGCTTGTTCACTGGTGTTTGGTTTCTCCCCATTTATACTTCAAGTTTTTACTCATTTGAATTTCATGAATTCAGATATAATGAAGGGACTTTAGTGAAAGTAAAAGTTTGAAAGAGCATGCCTGGATTAGAAGAAGAGAGAGTAAGTATGCATTCAAGTAGGCTTAAT